AATGCTATAGATTCCAGCCATCTTCCTTATGCATTGTTAATTTATCACTAGAAATATGTCCATCCTGAGCAAGCTCTATGAAAAAAATAGTGTTTAATCCTGTAGCTACACGGTAATATAATGCATATACAAAGGGGCTGAATTCAGGCTGACTTTTGAGGGTATGACTTTGCAATCATAATAATGCTTTCTTAAATTTTGTACGACGTTGCCAAAGCTTGAAAATGGAAGCCTCTATCAGACCTCCCAAGAATAGCAGACCTGCAGCAGAATTGCTGAAAGTTGTGGGTATCACATTGACATCTGCTGGAGAAAGCACCTTTATCACCTTTCAGGCCTTTATAATGACCTCTGCTGAAGTGGCAGCTGGAGGGGATGGCAGGAGTATGTTATGATCCTGGATATGAGCCTGTACTGTAGAGGGAGGGGGTTGCAAAAGAATCACAAATCTCTTCCACCATGTGTCCCAGCCCTGCCTTTGGAAGGGAGAGTGTGTTATGGTGAGCACAGTTTCTTTCCTGATTATTTGAAGTTTAGCTTCAGCTGTTTTGCCCCCCTCAGCTGCCCCTGCATTCCTGTTGTGTTTGAGCTATCTGTCCCATTATCCTCACCTATCCAGTTATATGAGGCTCCTTCCTGTTCTTTCCCTGTTTCTTTCTATACTCTGCACCAGTTTCCCCTAGTCCCCATCAGCTTTCAGTGACCTGCTAGAGCCAGATCTAAAAGCCAAAAGCCTTGTATGCAGTGCTGGTGAAATGCAAGATACAGAGGGCCATTCTTGTGTTTTGGCTCTATGGAGGTACGTAAAGAAGTAAGTGGGCGTTCAGAGGAGTTATAGTTGTTTGTGGCTCGCCCATGCACTGAGAGTCTGGGCAGAAGGGATGGAGGGTCAGGGCAGTTGTTTGCAGACTAAAAGAGAATGGTGGGCTGGTAGCTGAGATTTTGTTACTTCACCTCCTCCCTTACAGATGGCCCCAGCAGGGACCACTTGTGAAAGCTGGGCAAAAGGACTGCTGTTGGTGTGCTTGAGAAAAATGTGACTTTGAATTCAAAGCTGGGAATTGAGTCACCTCAGTGCTGAATGTTTGGAACTGGTGCTGTAATTCCAGTAGTGTAAAGTAGTATCCATGTGTATATGCCCAAAGCACAAGATGTTTTTTCCTGCACGCAGAAGTCAATGTGTGTAATTCACTAGATGAATATATCAGACTGCAGGTGCAGATTTACAGGTGTTGCTGTCAGGGCTGTCCTCTCAGAAGTTACTGAACTGTCATACTCTGGCTCCTTGTTTATACATTTTTGCTGAGGCTCCACTGAGGTTATAGTGTGTGCAGGTGAAGATTGTATTTTGCATGTATGTTCAGTATACTGAGACTGTACATACCATAGGCATGGAAGGAGAGGTTATATGTGATGTGAGTGATGTTACACAACATGTACTGCTGCAGAATTGTGCAAGAGAAATGCAAATAGGAAACTGTCCTGACCTAATCTATCAACTTGCCTACCAAAAGCCAGAGCAACCTTTTAAAAAACTCTGGCTTACCAGCAGAGACAGGGAGATTGGATTCCTATATCTGCAACCTGAGTCCCCTACTGCGAGATTGCCTCCCTGATTTTTACAAGCCTAAAGTAGTCCTGCCAGGTTGTTAATGTGTGGTTAGCATGTAATAGATGAAGAAGTGTTGGAAGGCTTGGGAAATGATTTTGGTGTAGAAATTCTGAATTTTGGAGAAAAGTAAACCTCTGTTTGCCAGCAAGTCATTTGAGATGGTAAGAAATCCAAGCAGCTGGGGTAATGAATCTGAAGTTAACAAGAGGCCACGGCCTAGCAGAAATCTGGGCACAATGCCTTTCCTTGAAGGAGGGGCTGGAGAGAGCACAGGAGGTGCCAAGGACAATAATAGAAGGGAGTAGCATAAATCAGTTAGAGGGAGTGGGATCCATGGTTGGGAGAAAGGAGCTGATTAAAGAACAGGCTCAGTTGAAAGAGGGAGCAGCTGTATGGCTCAGCATCTAGGACCGGCAGAACGGTGCAGCAGCTCTGCATCCACTTGGTGGACCCAGTGTTTTTAGAATGCCCATACCTCACAGCTATGCAAGACACCAAGGCAGCCTGTTTTCATGGGACCACTGTTACACTACAAGGTGTTGCAGATGATTACTCCTCTGACTTGCCCTATCTGGGTTTCTGCTGCAGTAGAGAGGCTGCTGGGAGCCCCCTCCCCAGCCCATGCTCCTCCACCCCTACCCCAGCTCAGTGAACAACTGTGCTACTAGATGCAAAGGATAGGATCTGACTCATGCTGTAAGTGTCACAAAAAAAAAAACAAAACCCAGAGCAGCTTTAGTCAGATCTCTGCTCTTCTGGATGTGCTCCTTCACCATGCTACTCGTGCTCCATGGATACGTCCTAGTATTCCCCCTTCATATCTCCTTCTGAGTGGGTTTTTTTTGTTGTTCGCCTTGATGAAAAACATCTTTCAAGTAAGACCATAGCTGCTCCCTGGATCTCTGCAGAGCTCTTGA